ATGCTACATATTGCCGCTTCTGTGCATCCATGTTGAAGGGAGTGAATGTTGAAGATGGTGTATGGAAGCCAGTAGAGTGTACGTCTTTGATGTGGTTGCTGTTGAGTGTTGTTTAAGCTGTTTTCATTCAGACAAACACAGAAACATAGAACATAGGAGCAGGACTAGGCCATTCAGCTCCTCAAACCTGCTCCACCATTCAATATGATCATGACAGATTATTGAGCTCAATATCCTATTCCTGCGCCCTCCCCCATATCTTTTGATCCTTTTAGCCACAAGATAGCATAGCTATCTCCTTCTTAAAAACACATAATGTTTTGGCCTCCATCATTTTTTTTGGTAGTGCATTCCACAAGCTCACCACTCTCTGCGTGAAAAAAGTTCTCCTCATCCTCAGTCTTATTTTAAACAATGACCCTTCACCGTCAGGAACATCCTTCCTGCATCTGACCTGTCTAGTCCTGTTAGAATTGTATAGGCTTCTATGAGAGTCCAAATAAAACACAACCATTGACTCCCCCGATCCCCTTTACTAGTTACAGACTCAGAGATTTCCAGTAAATTTGTCGAGCATGATTTCCCTTTTGTGAATCCATGTCACTGTGTCTGATTCTACCATTCTTTCCTCAGTGCTTTGCTACGAAATCCTTGGTAATAGACTCTAGCATCTTCTTCACTACTGACATCAGACATCTATCTCTACCTCCATTTTTAAATAGTGAGGTTATATTAGCTATCTTCTGGTCTGTAGGAACTGTTCCAGAGTCTAAATAACCTTGGAAGATGACCACCAATGCATCCACTATTTCTAGGGCCACTTTCTTAAGTACTCTGGGATGTAGATAATCAGGCCCTGGGATTTATCAGTCTTCAAACCCATAAATTTCTCAAACACCTTTTCCTGCTAATACAGAAGACAAAGTATGCTGGAGATCACAACGGATCAGGCAATATCCACTGTGAAAGACAGCAAGCTAATGTTTCGAGTCTCGGTGACCCTTCATCAGAGCTGACATGAAATATGGAGGGGACAGGATTTATGCTATAGTGATGGAGGTGGAAGGGGAGAGAAAGGATGTTGATAGTTCAAGTTAAGTTATTGGAATTTGAAAACGGCAGAATAATGGTGTGTCTAACTGCTAGACTGGAAGGAACAGGTGGTCATACTGGAGTGGGGATGAAGGGGAAAGAGGATGGTTTCCAGTAATCTGTGTCTACAGTTTTTCAGTTTGTGTGTTTCAGTTCCTCTCTTACACTAAACTCTGTGTTCCCTATCATTTCTATAAAATTAGTTTGTCAGCTATTTCTTTGTTCTCCATTATGAATCCCCCTAATTAATGTAAGGGACCTACATTAACTTGCACCAAATATTTTCTTCTTCCATACCTATAGAAAACGTTAGTCAGTTCTTATGTTCCCACAAGCTTACTTTGATACTCCATTTTCTCCTTAATTCATCCCTTGTTCCTTCTTTGCTGACTTCTAAACTGTTCCCAATCGTCAGGTCTATTGTTTTTTGTTCTTGCCAATTTGTATGCCTCTTTTTTGCATTTAATACTACCTGTAACTTGCCTCATAAGCCATAGTTGGCTACTATTCTCTTTGCACTCTTTTACCAGACAGGAAGAAACAATTTTTGTAGTTCACCCATTCACTCTTTGAGTGTTTACAATCATCTACTATTCATTTCAGTAACAATTCCCAACCCATTATAGCCAACTCACGTCTCATACCATCATCGTTTCCTTCATTAAGATTCAGGACCCTAATCTAAGAACGAACTACCTCACTCTCCATCTTGATGAAGAATGCGATCATATTGTGGTCGATCATCCCCAAAGTGTCTCTTACAACAATATTATCAATTATTCCTTTCTCATTGCATAATACCCAGTCTAAGATGGCCTGTTTTCTAGTTGGTTCCTCAATGTAGTGTTCCATAAAAGTATCATGTAAACATTCCAGGAATTCCACATCGACTAATTTGATTTGCCCAATCCATATACAGATTAAAGTAACCCCTAATTACAGATGTTCCCTTACCGCATGTATCTCTGATTTCCTGTTTAGTGCCATTCCCAATATCACCACTACAGTTTGGTGGTCTAATTACCACCCCCACCAATGTTTTTTGCACCTTGGTATTTCTCACAGGTTCTACATTGTCTGAGCTAGTATCTTCCCTCAATATTATGTTTATATCTTCTTTAACTAGTAATGCAACTCCAATGCTTTTTTGTCTGTCCTTCCTAACTACGGAATAATACTGGATGTTCAGTTCCCATTCCAGTTATCCTGCAGCCATGCCTCCATAATTTCAATTATATCATACCCATTTACATATAGTTGTGTGATTAATTAATCTACTCTCTTCCAAATGTTCCATGCATTCAGGCACAAAGCCTTAAGACTTAACTTTTAATGTTCATTGTCATTTCCACTAATTTGTTTTACTGTGGCCTTGTTTGATTCTGGCCTTTGATTTCTCCATCTTTCATTTCAATTATTCCCCTTTCAGTCTTTTCTCCTTGTCCTTGAATCCCCTTCCTCTGACTCTTTACATAGATTTCCATACCCTGGCAATTTATTTTAAACCTTCATCAACGAATCTAGCAAATACTCCCTCTCAGGCACCAGTCCTGGTCCTGCTCAGGTATGACCCATCCTGAGATTACTACCTTTGAGATCCTACTTTCCAGCTTGTTTCCTAGCTTCCTGTATGCTGCTTTTTTAAAAAATTCTCTCATTGTAGGACCTCATCCCTTTTTGTTAACCTATGTCATTGGTACCATGACCACTGGCTGTTGAAGTCCTCCCCCCACCCCCACCCCTGGATATCCTGTAGCAATCTGAGACATCCTTGACCCTAGCACCCAGGAGGAAACGTACCATCCTGAAGTCTCATTTGTGACCACAGAAATACTTATCTATTTCCATTACAATTGAATCCCCCAGCATTTCCACACTTTTTGTTCTTTCCCTGTGTGACAGAAGCAACAATGTTGCCATGAATTTGGCTGCGGCTGTTTTCCCCTGAGAAGCTATTCCCCTAAACAATATCCAAAGTGGTATCTCTGTTTTTCAAGGGAATGAACACAGGGGATTGCTGCACAGCTCCTAGTCCTCTTGCTCTGCCTGGTAGTCACCCATTCCCTTTCTGCCTGGGGAGTCTTGACCTGTAGTGTGACCCCCTCTCTATATGTGCCATTCACAATTCTCTCAGCTTCATGGATGCTCCACAGTGTCCCCAGCAACCATTTCAGCTTCAAAACTTGGACTTCCAGGAGCTGCAGCTAAAGACACTTCCTGCATATATGCTGGTCCTGGGGACTGGAAATGTCCCCAGTTTCCCATGTACAGCAGGAGGATCACAGAACAGATTTGAGCTTTCCTGCCATGCCTTACTACTTTAAATTAAAACTTTAGGAAGAAGCTGAATATCAAATAATATCAGTTGTGTGATGCAAATATTATTTGCCATTTATCAGTCCAAACAATGGTTTGGCCCTATGTGTTTACACATGGAAGCATCATCTGCAACTGGACACAGATGTTGGGGTGTTCCTGATACTGAACAGGCAGCAACACAGATGGGACAGTTTCCCGCTGTCTCTACAGGATCATTTAGAAACTGTTGGCATGAAAGCAATGTGATAATGACTAGAAAATCTGCTTTTGTACTGTTGGTTGCGGAATAAATATTAGCCAAGGACCCTTGTTGTGCTTCAAAATAACAAATTGGGATCCTTTACGATTGTGTAAGAGAGCTCAAGACAGCACCACAGTTTAAAATTTTATAGACAGTCAGTCAATATAGTGTTTTACAAATTCTATTTTAGAAATAAAACCAGTCTGAATCCAAACTAAAACACAAACAGATTCTAAACAAGGTCTCACACCTAACATGCATTGTCTGACTTAAAATGTCACCTCTTCTTTACACTGATAAAACCTTTAGTTCTCTCAGGACCTAATTTGAAAGGAATTTGGGGATTTACATGTACATATTAATCAATTAAAACGTCCTAACTGATCAGAGATTTAACAGCATTTTCGGTTTATTTCGTACATCCTCATCAATGGTGTGAACTTTTGATCCGTTACTTATAAATTCTGTTTGATACTATCTCTCTCACTAACACCTGAAGAAGGACTCCGAAAACTTGTGTTTTCAAATAAACCTGTCGGACTATAACCTGGTGTCGTGTGATTTCTGACTTTGTCCACACCAGTCCAACACCGGCACCTCCACATCATAACATTTCATCTGACAGACTGCACCTACAGTAGCTCAACACTCTTTCGGTATCAGAGATTGTAGGGACTGCCGCTACTGGAAAATCTGAGATAACAAGGTGTAGGGTTGGATGAACACAGCAGGCCAGGCAGCATCAGAGGAGCAGGAAAGCTGACATTTCGGGTCTGGACCCTTCTTCAGAAATGCTCGAAACGTCAGCTTTTCTGCTCCTCTGATGCTGCTTGGCCTGCTGTGTCCATCCAGCTCTACACCTTGTTAAGTCTTTCAGTATAGCATCCAGGAGTAACAGTAATTTTGTGCTTAGGACATTGAAGCAGGTCGTGAAACATTAGGGCAGGATCTTACATATTTTGACCAAGTCCGAGTGGCGTTGAGGTTTTTGGAGACGTTCTTTCCCCACGTTCTTTCCCCAAGCTCTACACCTTGTTATCTCTTTCTTTCCCCACGAGTTGATTTATATTGTTTCAAAAGGCTCACGTTGCTCCTTATGATTCTTAAGAAGTTTAGAAAACTGTATAAAGCCCCTCCCCAGCCCAACATGCACATCACCCTCCCTCACATTTCCAAGAACGGGTCTTTTGGTTTCAATAGGAGACAGGCTTTCCCCTGGGCTGGGGGGTAAATGAAGCCAGGTGGCGCGGGAAGTGAAATGCACGGTTGCTAGGGACGCCAGCGTGGTTGCTGGGGAAACCGGATGTGACATTCTCTCCTGGACGTCGCGCGCAGCCGCTCTGCTCAGTTTCAGCTGCCTTTGAGGGGGAAATGGAGCAAGGGCAGGGACTGCTTATAGACTGAGGGTTTACAGCAGCGGCTTTCAGCCTTTAGTTGTGTTATCTTCTAGAAAGGCAGCGAAATGTTTGCTTGGACTGTGCTGGCGCTCTCAGCCGCGATCGTCCTGCGAGCAGCGCAATCCTACAAGCCGGTCATTGTGGTGCACGGTTTGTTTGACAGCCCAGGGGATTTCAAATTGTTCCAAGGTTTCATCAACGAGGTAAGGCGACGCCGCTTCTTTCACTGCGCCCGGGGCCTGATTGCCCGCATGATCTGCTTGGATCACACCTCCCCCCCACACTCTGCTCTGCCAGTGGCTGTAAACTGAGAATTAGCCCCTTCGCTCTGAAACATGAGCTGTTTTGCTCTGGGAAAAGTGGGTTACACTGTTAGACTGATATCCTGCTGAATCTGCACCAAGACCCCGGATCAGTGATAAATTACTAATCGGAATTGAATGTCTGCAAGTTTATTAAGTGTGTCCCTGGTGGTGAACGAGTCAGTTAATGGGATTTCAAAGACTTAAATCTGGGTTGAAATGAAATATTCCTCAGACTTTAGCTGGGAACAATTTTCCCAAGTACTCGTAGAAGCCAAAGGCAGTTTACTCGTTCAGGTTTTTTTCCACCGTGCCGACGGTTGTGAACTTGTATGATGGTTTAAGGAAAACGTCGTGTTTTTCTGCAGTGACTGGAATCTGAAATGCAGTGTCGGGATGTGTAATGGAAGCTGATTCAATCGAAAAAGCAATTAGATCGTGATTTGAAAAAAAGAAAAGAATAGAGTGTGGGGGAGTGGCTTTGGGTGAGTTATACTTGCAAGGGCTGGGGCAAAGGTGGCAGACTGAATGGCCTCTTCTGTGCTGTAACCGTTCTATGATTCTAGAACGCTGCTTCTTCCAGTTTAAGCATCTGGTTGTCTTTTTAAAGGCACAATCACCCCTTTTACTCCGCTCTGAGATGAACTTGTTGATATTCCCACAGAATCTTTGTCTCAACCCATGCCTTCCAGCAACATGTTGGAGTCAGGAGCCCTGACTGACCGTGGAGCACTAACTGATATTGGTTTCTCACGTAGAGCTCAGCTGAAATTGGCTAAGAAGGGAATACACTCACATAGTCCAGTCGACATTGGGGTGGGCTAAGAAGACTAAATGTAGTATTTTATGATCGTCCCCACACCTTTCTCTTGATGTGTGCCTTGTTGCTGATACCTAAGGCATCAATCAGCAGCAAAAACAGAAATTGCTGGAAAAGCTCAGCGGGCCTGGCAGCATCTGTGGAGTAATTTCTCATCACAGATGCTGCCAAATCTGCTGAGTTTTTCCAGCAATTTTGTTTCTGATTTACAGCATCTGCAGTTCTTTTGTTTTTTAATTCACATCTATCAGGAAATCAGTGGTTGGAGTTTACCAGCTGCATTCTGCTTCATGCTGCTGCCATGAGAGTTCAAGATGAATTTTTTTCCTCTTCTGTGTGATGTGGAATTCTGCCTTGCCACTGCCTGACAGCTGTTAGGTTCCCCTGCCATCCAGTTATTGTTTGTTGAGTTTTCTGTACTCAAACAGCATTTGGCATCAAGCAATGTTGGGGTCAAAGAGAGAAGTTTTAAATAATATCTTAAGGAGAAGGGACAGATAGCAAGGTTTAGGGAGGGAATCCCAGAGGTTATGGGATAAGGAGCTGAAAGCTCAGCGACTGGGGAATAATGAAAAACATGAATAGTCAATAGATCGGAATTGGAGCTGTAATTTAAACCTACTCTGCCAGGAGGGAAATGTATTGAGTTAATAGAAAGCAGTAGTTACGTACTCCCAACTGTGCTATGATTCAATAAACTCAGTAGGTTAGGCAGTCTCTGTGGAGACAAAACAGAGTTAATGTTTCAAGTCCAGTATGACTTTTCTTCAGAAATGAAGGAGAGTTGTATCAGACTCGAAATGTTAACTCCCTTTCTCTCTCCACAGATGTTGCCAGACCTTCTGAGTTCCTCTGGCATCGTGTGTTTGTTTCTGATTTCCAGTATCTGCAGTACTTTTCTTTTATTTTGTTGACTTGAACTATCAAGCAGACCGTACTTGCAACCTAAACTTAGTGACTGGTGGCTTGGTTAAAATTACCCTCAAAATCTTAAACAGGGGCACTGAAAATTTCAGAGTTTGCCAAAATGGAGGAGAAAATTCCAACTATTTGAGTAATTTTGCTAATGTTCTGGGGATTTGGGTTCAAACTTCACCATGATGGATGGTGAAATTTGAATTCAATAAAAATCTGGAATAACTAAAACCAAGGTGGTCTATTGGCGACCATTGTTGATTGTTGTAAAAATCCATCTGGGTCACTAATGTCCAGTGGGGAAGGAAATCTACCATCCTTAGCTGGTCTGGTCATGTGACTCCATCCTACAATATTGTGGTTGTCTCTTAACTGCCCTCTGGGCAATTATGAATGGATAATAAAGGCTGGCCTTGCCAGCAACACACAGATTCCATGAAACAATTTTCTAAAAGTTCACAGTGTTCTGAGTGAAGAATTCCTCCTCATCCTCTCCCTAGATGACTGTCTTCTTATCCTGGACATATCATCACTAGGTGTGGACTCTTCAGCTGAATGAAACAATCTCTCGGCATTTACCAAGTCAAATTTTCTTTGGATACTGCTTCCACTGATTTCCAGACAATATAAGCCAATTTCCAATCAGTCTCTCCTCACAAAACATTAATTCTGTCATCCCAGGAATTAATCTGATTGCTGTTGGAAAAATGCAATATGTTCATAATTGACAAGCAGTCGAACAGAAAAATAATCATGTAACTTCCAAAGCCTGTGAAAGAAATTATACCAAGTATCTACTCTCTGACTTTTATTTATTTACATTCATATCATCTGTTGGGCTCTATGGATGTGTATGCTGCACACAGGAGCATTAGCCACATGGGAAGTGTGTCATTCTGACCATGATCCATCCACAAATACTCGTTTGGCTGGTCTTCCTCAATGATTCCTCTGACCTAGCCTAAAAATACAGGTAATAAAGCATAGCTGTGAGAGTTCATGGCCCAAACTGATTTCTACCAAGGAAAGCCAGTGACAAACATGTCCTGTGTCCTGTATGGTTTTGCAGTGGTCTTCTGTCAAATATAGAAAGGGGAACTGGATTATCAGTAACAAGCGAGGAGGGAGTGTATTGATGTGAGAGGGGGAGACGGGTTCAGGCTGAGGATCTGGAGATAAGTTATTGCTGTTTGTGCATTAGATGAGCAGTCAGAGGGGTTTGTGATCCAGTTAGGGGTCTTCTCCGTATGTGGGACTGAGATATGTTGCTGCAATAAAGATAGAAAGTCTCCATTGAGCCTTTCCTGATTTCACTTGCTTTACAACTAATTAAGTGCCAAGTATTATAATGCGGGAAACATGACAATCAATTTGTGTATAGCAGAATCCTATAAACAGCAGTGTGACAGTAATACTCTTGCTGTTTCTGAGTTTTGTTGTCATCTTGTGATACTGGTGGGGGACGTCACCAAATTAAATGTTGGTGTTAATTTTAAGTAAGATTCAGGTCTTTAACCCCTGGCTGTATTCAGAAGCATGGTTTGGCTGTACCAGCTACCAGACCTTTGTTTAATTTTTAAGAAGCAAAGCTAAGAGAGGTGAGAGGCAGGAACATCAAACTTGACTGGAATATTTGTTTGGATATTTGCATCCACGGCCATAGTTCAGTTAACATACATACGATCACGATCACGATCACACTCTGGCGCACACACACCCATACATTCCCACACCCAAGTCAGGAAGTTTCACTTGAGATATGAGGACAAAAGCTAGGCCAACACTTCCAGCAGTGCTCAGAGGAAGAGATCCCCTGTTTGTGGTGCTGACTTTTGTTTCAAGGTATTACTTTGAAGTTCTATTTGCCCTGTCAGGTAAATATAAAAGATCTCTCAGCCATAATTTCAATGCAGAATGAGGGACAGAGACTTTACTTTTACTTTACCTGAAGTTGTTAGTGACATTAGTTGCTTAAAATTACTGCTTACATTTCCTGAATTTAAAATATCAAAAGCCCTAAAAATGTGTGTTCTGGGTAGAGTTCAAAATTAAAATCACTTAAATGAGGTATAGAACTGAGATCTGAAAGCATCCTTTGTGCTTGTTTCTTTACCACGTCTTTGTGTAAAACTCCAGGGCAGGGTCTGTCACTATTCATTCCCTAGTGACTCTGGGCACTGAGGCATAAAGTGCACCTGTCGATTTGTGAAGAATGCTGAAGGCAACAGAACAGCAATAATCTGTTTGACTACACACAAAGAATTCTGTTGGCACACTGCCTAAATGATCAGCTGCCAGCCCAATCTGAGAAATAGATGATTTCTATTGACAGACTATTTGTCGAAGTGCTTTTCCCCTTTCACAGTTAAATCTGCTCCCACCATCCTTATAGGCAGTGCATTCAAATCTGCGACAATTTGCTGTTTAAAATTTACTGTTCCCTCCTATAGTCCCTGGCTGTTCCACCACTCAAATCAGTGACTCTCAGTTACCACTAGAAATAGTTTATCTTTTATATTCACTCTATCAAAACCCTTCAAGATTTTCAACATCTTTATCAATCTACCCTTAACCTGTAAGGAACACAAGCAAACTTTCTTCAGGGGCTCCATGTAATTGATGTCCCTCACCCTGGTACCATTGTAGTGAACCTCCTCTGCACCTTTTCAAAATGTGTTGCCAACAATTTTAATGCTTATTGCTCATTTACCAGCACCATCTAAGTGAAGAGTTTCAATTCTCTCAGGCTGTTGCTTTATTTTTAATTATTTTGTCAATGTCTTTCTCCTCTTTCTCTGAAGTAAGCTACACAACAAGTTGCCATTCAGGGAGACCTGTATAGTTGATCAGATTGGGAATCATATGGGATCAGTATCTCATTCTAATTGCTGAATTGTACATGTTAATTATCCTTTGGGATCTATTCCTTGCCCTTTAGATGATGCCTCTCCCCTTACACACACATGTATGTCTTTTCATTGCCATTGGTTTGGCGTCTTGTGAATTGTGAACTGGCTTGAGTTCATGGCTGCTTGGGAATCATGTCCAAGTGGAGCCCAATCATGAACAAAGTGTACCTGATGATCTGGAATAGTGGACTTTCACTATGGAAGGGAAGAAACAGAGCAGCTAACGGGGGCAAGGCAGATCTCACTGTGTACCATGTGTACTTTAGTCACATAGAGCTAAATTCTCAGAGGCTTCAGAATTGAAAGAACTGTTGGAAATGGAGAGGTCAATCTCTGTGTTGCTGTGTCAGGGAGCCAGAGAGGAGATTGGGGATGGGTGTTGGGGTAGGGAGGGTGATAGTGCAGTGTTGAGGGAATATATGTGAAGATTCTAAAGTCAGTGATGATGATGGATTACGCTGAGTGAAAGGTGTTCAGATGTAGCCCTGCTGTGACACTGAGAGTATAATTTTAACCAACATCATAATGAAGGATTCCACTGGATCTCAGATGGAATGATGGCTTCACATCTCAGCCCGAAGTTGTTCATTAATGTTAATAAGACCATAGACATAGGGGAAGAAATAGGCCTTTTGGGCCATGTGTCTGTTCTACCGTTCAATTAAATTAGGATCAAAAATCAATCCTGAACTTCAGTTTCCCGCCTTATCCTGAACACTTTGATTTCCTTCCTTAAAAATCTGTCTATATCAGCCTTGAATATGCTTAACGATCCAGCCTAATGGAAGGTAAAACCAGGCATTGTCTGAAACAAGAGATCCCATGAGATTCTCAGTGGGTGTGTTGGGTTCAAGTTGGCTGCTGAATGTCAATGCAACTAAATCTTTCAATCTATAACTATGGAGTTTCCAGGCAGGGTGGATGACCAACAATCATAGTAACTTGAAGGTGCCTCCGCTCCTTTGCCTGAGGCTAGGTTGCTGCGTTCCTACTTTGGTTGAGATTAATAAATATAAATTTAATAAACATAAACAGATTCAATCTGGCACCTTTCCTGTTACCATGTCCTCAGTGTTACTCAGTGTTACACTCCCCATCAACAGGACTACCAGATTTTGCAATAATTTAAAATTTAAAATTTAAAATTTTAATTTTAAATATCTGTTACCTATGGAGTCTTTAGACACACTGAAATATAGTAACCTTCCCACTAGCAACGTGAGTGCTGTGACATCGATTTCATCTTCCGGAGAGAAAGGGAAGTTGACTGTTTCAAGGTTAGTAAATATTTGTGGATGCAAAGGATTCACCCACAATAACATTAGAGACTGTGTTTACTTTGCATTTTGTTTACAAGCAGCTAGTTAACTTTGCTGGTAAACAAGGTCACCCTTAAAATATTTATTGAATGGCCAGTTTTATCTTTTAAATTTCTGGGACATCTTTGCTCAGGGGAATTGCTGGATTTGTAGATGTTGGAATTTTATTTGTATCAGCTCCGTGGGTTTGTAACTTGCTCAATGTCACTGTTTGTTTTTTAAAGTGCAATGTTCTTCTTGTTCACACTGACTGGCTGCTGACTTGATCTTATCTGTGTACATTGTGTGATTCGGTCCAGAAGGAAACCATTTCACCCATTGTGCATGTGGCAGTTCCTTGACAGAATTTTCCAGTCGACTGTCCTACATGTTCTTTTCACCATTGTTCTGAAAGTTTTCCCGTTAAGATATTCAACAAATTCCTTTAACAAAACCTCACAGTTAAATCTGCTCCCACCATCCTTATAGGCAGTGCATTCAAATCTGCGACAATTTGCTGTTTAAAATTTACTGTTCCCTCCTATAGTCCCTGGCTGTTCCACCACTCAAATCAGTGACTCTCAGTTACCACTAGAAATAGAGTGAATATAAAAGATAAACTATCAAAACCCTTCAAGATTTTCAACATCTTTATCAATCTACCCTTAACCTGTAAGGAACACAAGCAAACTTTCTTCAGGGGCTCCATGTAATTGATGTCCCTCACCCTGGTACCATTGTAGTGAACCTCCTCTGCACCTTTTCAAAATGTGTTGCCAACAATTGAACACAGTCCTCCAGCTGAAGTGTAACCAGTCCTTTATAAAGTCTCTCGTAGCTCTCTGCATCACAGCTTACTGATGCAGGAAGGGGGAAGTGAAAGAAAAAAGGTTGGTCAGTCTGGCAACCTCTTTGTATTAATTATTACATGCTTATTGTTTATTGAAGGGAGAATTTAATTGAAAGCAGGGAAGTTATGCTTCAGTTATAGAGGCAAAATCACATCTGGACCACCGTGTATAGCATTGGTGAGTTAAAGAAGACTGTGAAAGCGTTGGATGCAGTTCAGGAAGGTCTTACTGGAATGGTGGGTAATCTTATGAGGACCAAGTTGACTGGCTAGGCTTATATCTGCTGGAGATTAGAAGAGTAAACTATCCCTTGATTGGAACATAAAATTCTGAGGGGTTTTAATTGGGTGGATATGCAAGAATGTTTCATTTTGTGGGAGACTCTAGAAACTAGGGGTCACTGTTTAAAAAATGCAGTGCCCTTTTAAGAGAGAGAGAATTTTTTTCTCTCTCTCACGGACTGTTGAGAGTATTTGGACCTGTCTTACTTAAAAGCAAATGGAAGCAGAGTTTTTGACTTTTTTTTTAATGCAGAGGTTGATGGATTGTAATAAACTCAGGGGTGAAAGGTCATCGAGAGGGAGATTGGAGATGGGATTGTGGAGTAATCAGGTCAGCCCTGATTTTATTGAATTGTGGAGGACTCAGTGGATTGAGAGCACAACTCATATGATAACTCGTATGTTTGTATGTTCATACCTTTCTTCTTTGTATTTACACATGGGATAAGGGCACCAGTGGCTGGACTGGCATTTATTGCTATCCCTAGTTACCTTTGGGAAAGTGTTGGTGAGCTGCCTTTTGAACTGCTACAATCCTTAGCATGTAGGGACACCACAGTATCCTTAGCAAAATGTTCCAGGATTTTGACCCAGTGACAGTGATGGAATGATGATACTTTTCCAAGTCAGGATTGTATGGGTTTGGAGGTGAATATGGAGATGTTGGCCATCCCATGTATTTGCTGCCCTGGAGGTGATTGTGGATTTAGAACGTACTGTGTAGGGAGCCGTGGTGAATTTCTGCAGTGCATCTCAGAGATAGTGCACCCTGTTGATACTGAGGGGCGGTGGTGAGGGAAGTGAATGCTTGTGGGTATAGTGCCAGTCAAGTGGGCTGCTTTGCACTGAATAGTGTCAGGGTAGGTGCTGATAGGATGTTTTGTCTTGTACAAGATACCAGAAGTAAGGGACACCGTTTAAAAATATTTTAAGACAGGAAAGAAGAAGAATTGTTTTCTCTGAAAGTTGTGAGTCTTTGGAACTCTCTTCCCATGAGTGGTGGAGGAGGGGGTGATTGATTTTTGATTCTTCAGAGGTAGGTAGATTCTTGACTAACAAAAAGTCAAAGGTCTTTGGGGCTCTGGAAAAATATGGAGCTCTGGCCATAATCTGACGAGATATATTATTGAATGGGGAAGCAGGCCCAAATGGCCTACTCCTTCCAATTCATCCGCTTGTATATAACTAGTTGATCATGGCTTCAGCTATGGCAACTGGAGGTTGAAATTAATGGATACTATTTGTTAAGGTTTTAAATGTTTTGTCACAAATTTTTGGGGCGCAAGTTTTTTTGAGATTGAATAAACTTTTGCCTTGGTATCTATAGGTTGGTTGGGATGCAGAATGGGGGAGTTCTCCCAAACAGACTGCAATTTAACAAGAGCCAAACTGAATGTTTAATGAATTGATCATCTAGTCACTTTGGGACATCCCAAGAAGGTGTTTGATTGAGGGGAACATTCATTTTTTTTCCCTGTGAGCTATGAAACCTCCTTTAAATTGTTTGAAGGAATTGGGCTGTGAGGACTCCTGTGTACTTCCTAATGAAAGGTTTCTGTTTTGTTTCTGCCTCCCCTCAGACACATCCAGGTACCAATGTGACTGTCATTGACCTGTTTGATCACACACAGAGCCTGAAGTCACTGTGGAGTCAGGTGGATGGATTCAAAGCAGCCATCTATCCCATCATGCAGAATGCAGCGAATGGGGTTCACATGATCTGTTACTCCCAAGGTATGGCTTTACCGAAAGGTTTCTGTGAGAGTGCTGACATTGTGATTGATAAGCGCATTTCAAAATGTTTTCGCCATGTTGATTTGTGGCGCTTGTAGCTGTTATTTATTTGGCAGTTACATTCGCTCTACATGACCTGGCTAGAATGGAAATGCTTGACTGATTTCTCCTGTCAATTATGTTTATAAGCCACACTACATTTGAACGTTTGTATATGTACATACATGAAATGGAATGGCATGGGATAGTTGTTATTTAGATAATTTGCTTTTTTGAACCAGCGTTCACTTACTGCATTTTTCTGGACAACGGGCTTGTTATGGCCAGGAGATACTCTGTGGTGTAAATGTTTCTGATAAAAGAGGGTAGCAAGGGCCCCCTCAAGGACAAAGGATTGAAGTTATGCGTGGAGCCGCAGGAAGTGGGAGAGATCCTTTAATAAGTACTTTGTATCAGTATTCACCAAGGAGAAGGACATGACTGATGTTGAGGTTGTGGATGAGTGTGTGAATACTCTAGAAAATGTCAATATATTAAAGGAGAAAGTTTTTGAGTTTCCTAAATTGCATTACGTAGGCAAGTCCCCAGGGCCGGATGGGATCTATCCTAGGTCACTGGGAGATGCAAGGGAAGAAATAGCTGGGGCATTAGCAGATATCTTCACATCCTCCTTGACCACAGATGATGGTCCACAGGACTGGAGATTAGCCAATGTTCTTCCCTTGTTTAAGAAAGGAAGCAGGGATAATCCAGGAAATTACAGGCCAGAGAGATTGACATCTGTGGTGGGTAGGCTCTTGGAGAAGATACTGAGGGACAGGATACGTGCACAAATGGACTAGTTAGTGATAGGCAGCATGGTTTTGTACAGGGAACGTCATGTCTCACCAACCTGATCGAAGTTTTTGGAGATCTGACAAAGATAATTGATGAGGGAACATCTATGGATGTAGTTTATATGGACTTTCGTAAGGCATTTGATAAAGTCCCCGGTGGCAGATTGGTACAAAAACTAAAATCACATGGTATTCAGGGTGGCTGGCTAGATGGATACATAACTGGCTTGGTCATTGAAGACAGAAGGTAGCGATGGAGGGGTTTTTTTCAGAATGGAGACCGGTAACTGGTGGTGTTCCACAGAGATCAGTCTTAGGTCCTCTCTTGTTTGTAGTATATATAAATGATCTGGAGGAAAATGTAGGTGATCTGATGAGTAAGTTTGCAGACAACACGAAGATTGGTGGGGTTGCTGATCGTGCAAGGATACAACAGGATATAGATAGATTGGTGACTTGGACACAGAAATGGCAGATGGAGTTTAATCCAGACAAGTGTGAAGTGATGCATTTTGAAGCATCAAATTTAGTTGCGAATTACACTGCAAATGGCAGAACCCTTAGGAACACAAACATACAGATAGATCTGGGCATGCAGGTCCACAGTTCCCTAAAAGTGGCAACACAGGTGGCCAAGGTGATTAAGAAGGCATATGGCACGCTTGCCTTCATTGACCGCGGCAGGGAATACAAGAGTTGGCAAAACATATTGCAGCTATATAAAACTCTTGTTAGGCCGCATTTGGAGTATTGTGTGTAGTTTTGGTCACCGTGCTACCAGAAGGACATGGAAACTTTGGAGACAGTGCAGAGAAGGTTCACTAGGATGTTGCCAGGTCTTGAGGGCATTGGCTATGAGGATGGGTTAAAAAGACTAGGATTGTTTTCAATGGAAAGACAGTGGTTGAGAGGAGATCTGATAGAGGTCTACAAGATTATGAGAGGCATAGATAGGGTGGATAGTGTGAGACTTTTTCCCCGGGTTGAAGTTTCAATTACAAGGGGGCACGGGTTCAAGGTAAGAGGGCAAAAGTTTAAGGGAGATGTGTGACGAAAGTTTTTCATGCAGGGCGTGGTAAGAGCCTGGAATGCACTGCCAGAGGAGGTGGTGGAAGCAGGCACATTGCGACATTTAAGAGGCATCTGGATGATTACATGAATACAGAGGGACTAGAGGGACACTGACTGAATAAGGACAGAATGTTTGTTTTTTAGTTTAGTCAGGGCATGATGATCGGCACAGGGTACTTTTAAATACAGGTTTTGTTTTAAACTGTGACAAGGCCTCTACATAATGCAACATAACCTTTTCTCTCCCCTGTTCCCCTTACCCCCACCTCTCTACCTGATGGGCTGAGTTTGAAAAATTGGATTCCTTGATTCACTATCCAAAGAATTTTGTTGGATAGTGCTTGGAAAATCATTCATTGCCAAATAAAATGAAGATCTGAACCTGAATGTCCCTGCCCTGGGTGTATTTGGTGGACCAGTGTAACTGGGACTTTATTTTGAAACCATTCAGTACCAGCCCTGGGAATGCACAATGTGAAATTGTAGACTGAGTTTTCTTTTGTCCTTTTCTGAGAGTATTAATAGGTCAGTGGACCCTTTAACCACATTTGAAATGAATTCATGAGCTGTGCTGGGTGCATTCTGTTTTTCTCTTCACCACAATCTTCCTGTTTATGCAGTGACTGCAGTTTACATTCTCTGGGCTCCAGCCCTCAACTGCAAACGATGCACATTGTCTGAAGATGTTTCATTGATGTGTCAAATGCTCTTGCTTGGTCACCACTGCCCACCACTTATTGTTTAGCTTGCTGCTTCTGCGCAGAAATGCAGCAGTTCACACAACTCCTATGGCAGAAACGAGCTGCATTTAACAATCTGATGAAAAACAACATCCTGGATGCCTCCAAGCTGGGGTGATGATTTTTGTTGTTGTACGGCCCACAACATGTGCACTGAGCAGTGCATTATTTTGATGCCAATCGTTTTTGTAATCTGTTCTCCAAATTGTGGCATCACTGGCAAATCTTACAGCTATTGCCCAACTTTAATTACCCTCAGAGGTGGTAATGGGCCATCCTCTTGGAGTCCTGCAATGCTGATGGTGTAGGGTGGGTGGGGGTGGGGGGATGTTGGAGGATTGTCAATCAGTGATAGTGTGGCATGACTCTGGATTTTATCCTGTGCTAAACACAACTGCAGCGACTACGGTAAGGTATTTTCCCCCGGGTCCATTTGGACTCTTGTTTATCATTAGATGGAGGGGCTTTTTGCCTTATCAAAGTGCAAATATTGCTACGTTACTGTCCTTCATCATGTCATTCCCTTCAGTGATGCTGCAAGATCTCATGCTGGGAAACCATCCTGTGATAGGGGATATTTTTGGATAGTAAGCTATCTCCCAGGATGTGTTGCGTTCCATTGCAATTACCTTCCCACAGAGTGAAAGCACCATCATTTGCAAGTTCCCCTCTAAGCAACACATAATCCTGATTTGGAAACACATGACTGTTATTTCATTGCTGCTGGGTCAAAATCCTGCTACTCCTTCCCCATTGGCCTGTTGGTGTAGCTGCATCACATGGACTGTGGTGAATTCAAGAAGGTAACTCACTAGCGCTTTCCCAAGTGCAATCAGGGATGTGCATTAGTGCTAACCTAAGGTGAACTTTAAAACTAAATTTTAAAGAAGAGGTAAAAATGGCTGGTTGGAATTCATGTTTCCAGTTTTCCCTCCCCCTCCTTCTCTTTTACTCTTCACGATCAATTGAGGACTGTCCTCTATTGAATAGAACTACCAATCTTCAGGGAGGCTTTGTGGGGTGGAGGTTTTTTTTTGTGTTTTAGGAAGGATATTGAGCATCTTTTCAATACAGCGTCCTCTCCAGATCTGCTACCCTGGCTGCAATGATGTGAGAGTTCGCTGTTGAGCGGTTTGGAAATCTCAGTTTCCTGAAAAACTGGTGGAATTTCCTCCCTATTTCTGTCGAACGTTGTTTAAGAAACTGAGCGTGCCCTCCTGTTGACTGTTTCAGGCGGTCTGATCTGTCGAGGTATCCTCTCTACGATGCCAGACCACAATGTGGACACCTTGATATCGCTGTCCTCTCCTCAGCTTGGCCAGTATGGAGGTGAGTTGCAGACTTGGTGTCGCCCCCTCTGTAATTGAGAACTGCGAAGTAGAAATGAATGGGGACAGCTGGATAAGGCAATGGATGGGATATGCCTTGGGGAAACTTTCACGCTGAATGCATGTATTGTTCCGCTTGAAACAATTTAGCATTTCTCAATCAATTTTCAAGGGGACATGGACCCGAAGCATGAAATATCCTGAGAGCTAGCACTCTTAGCTTGAATCAGAAGTTCAAGGATTCAAGCCCCGATCCTAAGGATTGAATACAAAATGCTGGCTGACACTCCAGCGCAGTGCTGAGGGAGTTCTGCACTGTCATCTTTCAGCTGAGATGTTAGCTCGAGACCCTGCCAGCCCCAGCAGGTGGATGTCAGAGATTCTACAGCACTGTCAATATTCATCCCTTGAATCACTAAAAAAAACAGGCTGACGTGTCCAGGTCTTTCTTTTTGTGAAGACTCAATTGGAATGTTGTACAGGCGTGGAAACAGTCCAAGCTTCTTCAGTTCCTCCTGATTTTTAAAAATATGTACTAATTAAAGGGATATAGATGTCCCTGGCTCAGCCAGCTTTTATTTTCCATCCCTTGTTACCCAGTTAAAAGTTAATCACATGCTGTGGGTCTGGAGTCACCTGTAGGCTAAGCCAGGTAAAGGTGGCAGATTTCCTACTCAAAAGGACATTGCTGAACCCGATGGGGTTTTGACAACAGTTGACAGGGATCACATGGTCACCAACTGGCTAGCTATTTCATTCCAGATTTTTCTTGAGTTCACAGGCCCTGGTGAGATTTACACCCATGACCCCAGAACATTAGCCTGTTCGGTGCTAGTTTGATGACATTGTCACTAGTCCATCATCTTCCCTATTTGTAACCCCTCAGCTCTGGTGGGGGATATTTAACAAATTCTTAATGGAAATAGAGAGTCAATGACAAAAAAAAGACAAATGCATCAACTAAAGGATATCCTTAGTTATAACAAGTTAATAAAGCCATCAGCTAAGCAACTGGCACGGAGGCAGTGGAGAATGGAGGCTAAATGGTGTTAGATCTTGGAACAGCCATAAACACAGTGAATGATAGAATAGACTCGAAGAGATGAATGACCTCCTACTGTTTCTGCATTGCTGCAAGAAATGCCAAGCCGGGGAAATCTTTAGGAGATGCCAAAGAATCAGAATACAAGATCATAACAAAGTTATTGTTGTTACAGGTATGACTGGGGGAATGTGCTGATTACCAAGCCCGAACACTCCACCATTAGGTGTAAATTTGTTGATTCAATTACCAAAATGGCCAAATTCTTCTCTTTATTACCACTATTAAAATAAAAGAAATATCACTAAGCTTCTTTAATTGAATAAAAATAAGCTATTTATTATGAACAAAGATTATGCCTAAAATCAGTGACAAAGTATGGTTAATTTCTAAACTGTAATCTGGAATTAAAACCGTATCCCCTTAATCCTACACACAGACACACTCCCATACAACAAAGCAAGTCTCTGCCAAGGTGATAGCTTATTTTAAAAAAAACACAAAAGGGAACAAACACCTCCATTGGGCCAAAAGCTTGGAAACGAAGGATAAAATGTGATGAATTCTCACAGTCACTGAATTACCTGTCGACAAAGCTAAATTGTTGAAAGTTGTAGTGTGATGATAAATGTGCAGTTTTGATTCCAGTTGGCTTGGATTTGAATCATGAGAATTGGTCACAGACCACAACTTCAGGTTCTATAAAGTAGACTGATAAACTGGTACTTGGAGCTCCCAGCCACGACTTCTCAGAAACAGGAGTTTGAGAGAGAGAACTCTGAGATGTCTTCTTTACTTTCTCAGAGAGGGTTTCTGTTAGCCTAGGTCTGAAGTGCTGTCAAAATCAGGGTTTTTTAAAATGATAATTAGGGCAGTAAATCCATTGTCTCCTTTCCTTAAACTTTGCTTAGCTGATTCTTCCAAGTCGCTTGATTTACAATAAGACAGTAGGCAGCTTAGAGTATGTTAAATTATTGGCTTCATTTTCCAAGAAATGACGTGTAATGCTTTTCAGTCCAGAGAATGTCCAAATAATATAAAATCTCCCAGTATTTCCCAGACAGTCTCCAATTAAAAATATGTATTCCCAATGTTATCTGTACTGATTACTTGCTCCAGCTTTGAATAATCTTTTACCACCTAAATACAGGACAGTTGGAGCCTTGCCCTCTGATAGATATTACTATTGTGCCAGTCTGGAGAGCGTTGACTACATTCAGTGCCAGCTGATGTACCCAGTGAATTTAAGGACGAGGAGTAAGTGCTGAGAATTACATTTTACTCCCAAACATTTGCAAACAGTCCTGTGCAGATTAAAATGAGTCATTGGCAGGAAGACCAGAAAAGAACTGGAGTAGGATTTAAAAGGACTGACCCAGTAGGCAAGAACAGAACAGATAGAATTTAATGTAAGGGTGAAGTGTGAAGTTATTCACTTTGCTATGAAAACATACTAAAGTAGAAGAATTTAAGAATGGTGAGATTGTGGAGAATGTTGGTATTCACAGGGACCTGCGTTTTTGTGACATGAATCTTAGAAAATAAGTAGACAGGTATAGCAAGCAGTTAGGAAGCAAATACCATGTAAGCGTTTCTTCGTATTGAGGATTCTATTGACAGATCACAGACCTGAAATGCTAACTGTTTCTCCCTGTCTGTTCAAAGTTGCTGCCTAACTAGCTGAGTATTTCCAGCATTTTCTGCTTTTGTTTTAGGGTTCCAGCATTTGCAGGATTTTGCTTTCTGTGATCTAAAGGGCATTGGAGAGAGCAGATCTGATGCCGTGCATTTAGTTTTGGCACCTTTACCTAAGAAAGGATACACCATAAGACATAGGAGCAGAAATTAGGCTATTCGGCCCATCGAGTCTGCACCACCATTCAATCATGGCTGATAGGTTCCTCAACCCCATTCTCCCGCTTTTTCCCCGTAACCCTTGATCCCCTTGATAATCAAGAACATATCTATCTCCGTCTTAAATGTACTCAACAACCTGGCCTCCACAGCCTTCTGTGGCAGTGAATTCCATAGATTTACCACTCTCTGGCTAAAGAAGTTTCTCCTTATCTCATTCTAAAAGGTCTTCTCTCTACTCTAAGGCTGTGCCCTGGGCTGCTAGTCTCTCCTACCAATGGAAGCATCTTCCCAACATCCACTCTGTCCAGGCCATTCAGTTCCCTACAGGGAGTGCACCAAAGCTTCACGAGGTTGCACGCTGGGATGAGCAGAGCAATGAACAGGCTAGAACTTTATTGCCAGGATCTTCAAAGATCTGATCTGATTGAAATGTATGACATTCTGAAGGGCTTGACCAGTTAGATGCTGAAAAAAACTCTTTCCCTTGTTCGATAGTCGAGATCACAGGCTCGCAAGCTCAGACTGAATGACCGGCCATTTAGAGCTGAGGTAAGAAGGCTCTGCATTGAGGAATGTGAATCTTTGGAATTCTTTCTCCCTTAAGCTATGAACATTCCATAGTTCAAGACTGACTGAAGTTGTCAGGTTATAGGTTGCAAGGGTTAGGGCCAGAATCTCCAGCTTCCATTTCATATGTTGTGTTTTGCTGCTGAACCTCATCCTCCTCCACTCAGTTTTAAAACACAGGACTAGATCAGCCGCATTGCAATAGCTACTTGTTACTGATTAATGGTTACCTCTGTGTGGAAATATTGTGCCACCGGGGTTGTGTTACTCTGTTATCTCCAGGCCGTTAATAATATCTGTTTACATTCAGGTTGCTGTTACTCTGCGTGAGCGCAGTTAATACTCCCCAGAGAGAGCATGGGATTTGGATCCTGTCTCTGCCCAGATAGCAATTTGTCTACACACTTACAATCCAACGAATAGTGAATGTTCTTTGTGGGGAAACTGTCAGTGTAGAGTGACGGGGAACCTCAACTCACTAGATTTTCCTAACTCCCTTGAGATACCAGTAATGCAGGTCTGGCTGCACACGATCTTCACTTATAGGTAATCATTAATCAAGAGTGATCTGTTTTAAATATTATTAAAATTACTTTGTGCCTGCACACTGAAAGCAAATCCTGATTCTGGTGATTAAATCACACAGGCATGGCCTGGTGTAAACTGCTGAGAAGTATGGTAATCATAGTAAGGAAGTCCCTTTTTAGTGCAATACTCTCTCCATTTTAGACAGGAGGGCATTGGAGTGCAATATCGCACTGGTCCAGAACCAAACAGTCAGGTACTAAATCCTGCAAGTGTTTGATTGGGGGCAGACACTCACTCTTCACGTGACTGGAAGTGTCTGTGATAAGGAGTATCGATTGACCCTCCCATCGTGTGCACGCATGTCGAGAATAGCGTCTGAATCTCCATGTCCTTCTGAAAGTTGTGACTGATTCTCACTGTGTGATTTCAGTGACTGAATCACTTTCTCTTCAACAGATACCAATTACCTGAAATGGCTTTTTCCAAATTATGTGAAGTCCAATCTCTACCACTTCTGTTACACACAAATCGGGCAGTGTTTCTCCATCTGTAATTACTGGAATGGTGAGTAACAAGATCTTGTATGAAGCATATATGTACAGAGTGTCAGTGTGTTGCACACTGTTTCCCTGCTCCAACTGTGTATGGTGAGTGTCAGTGCTACCTCTGTGCTCTCTTTGTGTATCATGAGACCATGATAAAGAGACACAACTGTTGGTGGTTTAACCTGAGGGTGACCATGCCTCATGCGCGGGGAGAGGATGAGCCCTTCATGGTAACCTCAGCTGGTACAGGAATTGAACCCACAAGGTTGGCATCTCTCTATTACAGACCAGCTGTCCAACTAATTGAGCATAACTGACTCCTGTGCTTTGAGTGCGGTTTGAGTGTAAAGGAATCTGAGTTATTTCTTTGTCTGTTTCAGATCCTCACCATCACAAACTTTACCTCAACAGCAGCAACTACCTGGCCTTCCTTAATAATGAGAGGGAAAATCCTAATGCTACAGGTAACGTAGAGCTGGATCACAGAATGGTCTTAGCACTGAGACATGGAGCTGGATTTCCGTGCAGTGGGGATGACTCCACAGACATTTAGGAATAGCCCTGGAATTCCCGTTATTCAGTTTTTGCTAGTGGCTGTGATAGGGAGAAACCAGAACCCAATGTGACTTTTTGAACTTAGCACAAAGTTCAAACAGACCCCATTTTGATGTGATGCAAGGGCCTTAATTTGCAGCATGGGAGTTACAGAAAGCTGCAGTAGGTGTAAACTCTCTTGAAGGATAGAAAAGTTCTGTAGAACTGTCATGACCGAAGCCCTGTAAACTCATTTTAGAAAAGAAAAGGGTTGCAGCTTTCAGTGAGAGTTTAAAAACAAAACCCTTTTGCTAGATGACTTTAATTGACAGGCATAGGTTAGGAAAAAAAAACTAGCATGTTTTTCAGTAAACCTCTCAACTGACTTTTCCCCAAGGGCTGTCAAAATGTCATTGTAAATGTTTGGCTGAGATTCAAATTCTACCATTATTTCAGCTTGAGGGTTCTGATTTCTCAGATTGACAGTTTAGAGTATTGATGATGAAAAAACACATTTTATCAAAGATAGAACATAGAACATAGAACATTACAGCGCAGTACAGGCCCTTCGGCCCTCGATGTTGCGCCAACCTGTGAAACCAATCTGAAGCCCATCTAACCAACACTATTCCATTATCATCCATATGTTTATCCAATGACCATTTAAATGCCCGTAAAGTTGGCGAGTCTACTACTGTTGCAGGCAGGGCATTCCACGCCCTTACTACTCTCTGAACCTACCTCTGACATCTGTCCTATATCTATCACCCCTCAATTTAAAGCTATGTCCCCTCATGCGAGCCATCACCATCCGAGGAAAAAGGCTCTCACTGTCCACCCTATCTAATCCTCTGATCATATTGTATGTCTCTATTAAGTCACCTCTTAACCTTCTTCTCTGTAACGAAAACAGCCTCAACTCCCTCAGCCTTTCCTCATAAGACCTTCCCTCCATACCAGGCAACATCCTGGTAAATCTTCTCTGCACCCTTTCCAATGCTTCCACATCCTTCCAATAATGTGGCGACCAGAACTGTACGCAATACTCCAAGTGCGGCCACATCAGAGTTTTGTACAGCTGCAACATGACCTTATGGCTCCGAAATGCAATCCCTCGACCAATAAAACCTAATACACCGTACGCCTTCTTAACAACCCTGTCAACCTGGGTGGCAACTTTCAGTGATCTATGCATATGGACACCGAGATCTCTCTGCTCATCCACACTACCAAGAATCTTACCATTAGCCCAGTACTCTGTATTCCTGTTACTCCTTCCAAAGTGAATCACCTCACACTTTTCCGCATTAAACTCCATTTGCCACCTCTCAGCCCAGCTCTGCAGCTTATCTATGTCCCTCTGTAACCTGCAACATCCTTCCGCTGTATCCACAACTCCACTGACTTTAGTGTCATCCGCAAATTTACTAACCCATCCTTCTACACCCTCATCCAGATCATTTATAAAGATGACAAACAGCAGTGGCCCCAAAACAGATCCTTGCCGTACACCACTAGTAACTGAATTCCAGGATGAACATTTCCCATCAGCCACCACCCTCTGTCTTCTTACAGTTAGCCAATTTCTGATCCAAACCGCTAAATCACCCTCAATCCCATGCCTCCGTATTTTCTGCAATAGCCTACCATGGGGAACCTTATCAAACGCTTTACTGAAATCCATAAACACCACATCAACTGCTTTACCTTCATCCACCTGTTTGGTCACCTTCTCAAAGAATTCAATAAGGTTTGTGAGGCACGACCTACCCTTCACAAAACCGTGTTGACTATCCCTAATCAAATTATTCCTTTCTAGATGATTATAAATCCTATCTCTTATAATCCTTTCCAATACTTTACCCACAACCGAAGTAAGGCTCACTGGTCTATAATTACCAGGGTTGTCTCTACTCCCCTTCTTGAACAAGGGGACAACATTTGCTATCCTCCAGTCTTCTGGCACTATTCCTGTAGACAATGACGACATAAAGATCAAAGCCAAAGGCTCTGCAATCTCCTCCCTAGCTTCCCAGAGAATCCTAGGATAAATCCCATCCGGCCCAGGGGACTTATCTATTTTCACACTTTCCAGAATTGCTAACACCACCTTCTTATGAACCTCAATCCAGTCTAGTCTAATAGCCTGTATCTCAGTATTCTCCTTGACAACATTGTCTTTTTCTGTGTGAATACTGGTGAAAAATATTCATTTAGCGCCTCTCCTATCTCTTCGGACTCCACGCACAACTTCCCACTCCTGTCCTTGACTGGCCCTAATCTTACTGTAGTCATTCTTTTATTCCTGACATACCTATAGAAAGCTTTAGGGTTTTCCTTGATCCTACCTGCTAAAGACTTCTCATGTCCCCTCCTGGCTCTTCTTAGCTCTCTCTTTAGGTCCTTCCTGGCTAACTTGTAACTCTCAAGCGCCCTAACTGAGCCTTCACGCCTCATCTCTACATGAGCCTCCTTCTTCCTCTTGACAAGAGATTCGACTTCTTTAGTAAACCATGGTTCCCTCGCTCGACCACTTCCTCCCTGCCTGACAGGTACATACTTCTCAAGGACACGCAGTAGCTGTTCCTTGAACAAGCTCCACATTTCAATTGTGCCCAGCCCCTGCAGTTTCCTTCTCCATCCTATGCATCCTAAATCTTGCCTAATCACCTCATAATTGCCTTTCCCCCAGCTATAACTCTTGCCCTGTGGTGTATACCTATCCCTTTCCATCGCTAAAGTAAACGTAACCGAATTGTGGTCACTATCACCAAAGTGCTCACCTACCTCCAAATCTAACACCTGGCCTGGTTCATTACCCAGTACCAAATCCAATGTGGCCTCGCCTGTTGTTGGCCTATCTACATACTGTGTCAGGAAACCCTCCTGCACACATTGGACAAAGACTGACCCATCTGAAGTACTCGAACTAGAGCGTTTCCAGTCAATATTTGGAAAGTTAAAGTCCCCCATAACAACTACCCTGTTACTTTCGCTCCTATCCAGAATCATCTTTGCAATCCTTTCCTCTACATCTCTGGAACTTTTCAGAGGCCTATAGAAAACTCCCAACAGGGTGACCTCTCCTTTCCTGTTTCTAACCTCAGCCCATACTACCTCAGTAGATGAGTCCTCATCAAACGTCCTTTCTGCCACCGTAATACTGTCCTTGACTAACAATGCCACACCACCTCCTCTTTTACCACCTTCCCTGATCTTACTGAAATATCTAAACCCCGGAACCTGCAACAACCATTCCTGTCCCTGCTCTATCCATGTCTCTGAAATGGCCAAAACATCGAAGTCCCAGGTACCAACCCATGCTGCAAGTTCACCCACCTTATTCCGGATGCTCCTGGCGTTGAAGTAGACACACTTCAAACCACCTTCCTGCCTGCCGGTTCACTCCCGCGACCTTGAAACCTTATTCATGACCTCACTACTCTCAACCTCCGGTACACTGGAGCTACAATTCAGGTTCCCATCCCCCTGCTGAATTCGTTTAAACCCTCCCGAAGAGCATTAGCTAATTTCGCCCCCAGGATATTGGTACCCCTCTGGTTCAGGTGTAGACCATCCCGTTTGTAGAGGTCCCACCTACTGCAGAATGAGCCCCAATTATCCAGGTATCTGAATCCCTCCCTCCTGCACCATCCCTGTGGCCACGTGTTCAATTGCTCTCTCTCCCTATTCCTCGCTCGCTAGCACGTGGCACGGGTAACAAACCAGAGATAATAACTCTGTTTGTTCTAGCTCTAAGCTTCCACCCTAGCTCCTTGAATTTCTGCCTTACATCCCCATCCCTTTTCCTACCTATGTCGTTGGTGCCTATGTGGACCACGACTTGAGGCTGCTCCCCCTCCCCCTTAAGGATCCCGAAAACATGATTTTGTGTTGCATTCATCAGGGAAAGTTACAAGAGTAGCAATTTAAGGGAAAAACCATCATTAAAACTGTATGAGGAGACTGCTGATTAGCTAGCAAATGGACTGTGATTGGTCGAGGCATTGCCATGGAGAAGACTTCCATTGATGTTGATTGAATGTTAACTACTGAGTTTTGTTTAAATTTTAAACCAGACAGATCAAGTCTGATGAACTGTTCAGGCATTACCTCAAGATGTGAGCAGATGGATAGCTGTCACCTAGTTAATTGAGTTGATATGGACATCGTGGATTTACATGGTGTTTTTACCTACAGATCTCTATGTATTAATATATGTATCATAGCAAATGCACTTACTACTTTTGCAGATCTGTGCCCTCTTGTTTCTTTTATAAGTGGAAACACTTTCTCTCTATTTACTCTGTCCAATCTGCTCATGATTTTGAAAATGTCTGTCAGATCTATTTGTGTCACATATAGACCGTGTGATTAAAAAGGTGTTTGGCACACTTGCCATCATTGCTCGATCCTTTTGAGTATAGCAGTTGGGAAGTCATGTTGAGGTTGTGCAGGACATTGTTGAGGCTTCTTCTGGAATACTGTGTCCAGTTCTGGTTGCCCTGCTATGGAAGGATATTATTAAGCTGGAGAGGGTTCAAAAGAGATTTACCAAGATTTTGCTGGAAGGTTTGAGTTATAAAAAAAGGCTGGATAGGCTGGGACTATTTTCACTGGAAGGTAAGAGGTTGAGAAGTGACCTGATCGAAGTTTATAAAATCAGTGGGATGTAGATAGGGTTAATGGTGGCTATCTTTTCCCTAGGATGGGGGATTTCAAGCCTAGATGATATATTTTGAGGAGAGAGGTTTAAAAAGACACAATGAGCAAATTATTTACATGGAGGGTGGTTTGAGTGTGGAATGAACTTCCTGAGGAAGTGGTGGATGTGGGTATGGTTACAATGTTTAAAAGATATTTTGGATAAGTACATGAATGTACATGAATGGGAAGGGTTTGGAGGGTAATGGGCCAGGAGCAGGCAGGTGGAACTAGATTAGAATGGGATTATGGTCGGCATGGACTGGTTGGACCAAAGGGTCTGTTTTCATGCTGTATGACTCTATGGGAACAGTCCCAATCATCATAACTGTAGTTCTCGTTCCAGGAACCATTCTTATAAATCACTTCTACACTTGCTGTAATGCCTTCACGTCTTTCCTGTAATGTGATGCTCAGAACTGTCACAATACTCAAGCTGAAGTCTAACAAGCATCTTGTTTACTTTCAACATCAATGCCTTGCTCTTATACTCTGTGCCCCTGTTAGTAAAGCTGAGAACACGGTATGCTTTATTCACTGTACTCTGCGCTTGTCCTGCCACTTTCAATGATCTCTGCACATATACTCCAGGTTCCTCTGCTCCTGCACCCACTTCAGAATTTTCCAATGTCCTTCCAACCAAAGTGTGCCATCTCACACTTCTCTGTGTTGAATCTCATCGAGCCGCTCCACCAACGTGTCTATGTTCGACATTATCTTTCTCGCACTTTACAATTATTCCAAGCTTCATATCATCTACAAACTCTGAAATTGTCCCCTGCATCCCAAGACATAGATCATTAACATTTATCAGGAAAAGCAAGGATCCCAATATTGCCCCCTGGAGAACCGCACAAGGAACCCTCATCCAGTCCGACTGGCGTTGCACAGAACCCGAGAGGGAGGTGAAAGGACAGTGTCTGACCCACTGTCCCACCCAGTTCCAGTTGTGCGTGTTTCCTGTATCTTTTCCAAATGTTGTTGGTTGTTTAGCGGAGTGTTTTACGGCCATTTCAGTTTCTGAATTGTTGTCATTTGTCCTTTTTTTTTAATTAGATTGGAAGAAAAATTTTCTGCGAATCAAGAAGCTTGTTCTGATTGGTGGACCAGACGATGGGGTCATAACTCCATGGCAGTCAAGGTAAGAGTCTGTTGGAGATGGTGAGGGGATGTGTGGGAGTGAGGGGGGGTGGTGAGGGGGTGTGTGGGAGTGAGGAGGTATGGAGTGTGAGTGGATACATGGGTGGTGGCTACCCCCTGTTTCTGCCACCTGTCTCCCTCCAACTGGGAACAGACTCCAGACTCCACATGGACTGTGCTCCTGAGGCTGGAATATCTGGTGGGGGAGAAGTTCAAACTAAAAGATTCAGTCCAGTGATGCCAGAACTGAGCATGAACATCTAGGAAAGATGGAACAGGCTGGAACTCTCTTGCTCAGAGATTGTTTCAACTTGTGAGTGAGACCAGAACTAGGGCCTTTTAAATATTTTACCCGAGCACTGCTTAATCCATTCAGGAATTCAGGAGAAATTGACTTACCCGGAGAGTGATTCAATTGTGGAACCTGCTACCACAGGAGAATAGTTCAGAGGAATAATGGAGCAATATTTAAGGATAAACACACGTTGCGAGGGATGTGTAAAAAGAATCTGGAATTAATGGTCTAATGATGATCATGAAACCGTTGTCAATTGTCATAAAAACCCACCTGGTTCACTAATGTCCTTTAGGGAAGGAAACTGCCATCCTTACCCAGTCTGGACTACATGTGAATCCAGAACCACAGCAACACGGTTGACTATTAACTGCCCTCTGGGCAATTAGGGATGGGCAATAAATGCTGCCTAGACAGCACCACCATCATCCCATGAGGGGATGATTTGGGATGGAGTGTATGTACTCATGAAGGGGCTGCTTATTCTGTGAGGTATTGTCCAGAGTCTGGAAGCTGGTTACACTGCATTCCAAGATTTAACAGCTGGCTCTGATCGACAGCACAAGATTCGTTCAGTCAAACCAAACCGCTCATAAAAATATTCAACCTTTGTGGTGAGGAACTCTAAGGTGATTGTGACCATTAGCAACTTAGGCTGACAATCAACCAGGGGCCTTTTCTCAAATCCCACTCCCACTATGATGATGGGGTTTCAGACTCACTCTCTCCTCCCCTTTGCTGGGGTTCAGTATGTGCACTCTCTGAAATAGTTCTGTCTGTGATTGGTAATTTCTCTGCCTTGTCTCCCCATACGTACACAGACAAACAGGCGGATACTGACACAGACACTCATATACACGCACAGAAACAGACACATGTGCTCTCTCTCTCTCTGTCTGTCTCTTACACACACCCTCTTTTTCAGTCTGTCACACAATTTCTCGTTCTGTCCTTCACACATACACACACTTTCTGTCTCTTTCTCACACACTGTCTCACATGCAACATTTTATTTTCCTTTGTCTGTCTCACGTATATACAGACTCTTTCACATTTACAGTCTCACATACACACACACTCAGTCACTCTGTCTGTCTGTCTCACTCACACTCTCTCAGCCTCTTCGTGTCTCTGTCTCTGCACACGCACACTCAAATGTCTTGCTAGGGGAACCTTCCCTTCCCCACTTTCTGTTGTTAGATGAATGTTTTATGTTAATCAATGCTCCTTACTGTTTCTTTTTCAGTCAGTTTGGATTTTACAATGAGAACGAGACGGTGATAGATATGAGACAACAGCTGGTGAGTTGTTGAGCACTCACAGCAGTGAGTCATAGAGCAGGGTCTGAGGGAAGTGATGGGGGAGGGTGAGGGTCACCACAGGCTGGGACCTGAGGCAGGCGATGGGGGGTGGGTGAGTGTCACCATAGGCCGGGGTCTGATGGAGGCAGTGGGGGGGATTTTGGGGGGCACCACAGGCCAGGGTCTGAGGGAGTTGATGGGGGGGGTGAGTGTCACCACAGGCTGGGGCCTGAGGGAGGCGACTGGTGGGGGGAGGTGAGGCGCACCACAGGGTGGGGCCTGAAGGAGGTGATGCAGGTTCCCAAACATCACCATCAGGATCATGGGGTCTCGTCCACGTTCTTCCACAGAACATGTGGGCTGTGGGAGACTTGGCCACTTTCTCCAAGTTTCAGTCCTTCTGAGCTATTTTGCTGTAAGCAGTTACATTTCATCTTTAAACAGATCTTTTATATTTCTTTATTGTCCCATTAACACTTTGCTTTGTGTTTCTCCATTTTGATATTCCTTGCCTTAGTATTTATTCCAAAAGCTGTTTCTTTGGCAGCAGCTCTTCCTGGTGGCCATTTCTGGTTATTTCTGTGTCCCTGGTTTCTGTATAACTGTCCGCTGCTTCCTGCATTTTCCATTTCACTTGCGATTTACACCATCTGACATATTTTGGTTTTGGTTTTGGTACATTGACATGGAGAAACGTTTTTGTCACTGTGTGAATGGTTAATGTCGGGAACACAATGTCTGTCTAAGAGGGAGTGAGGTGAAGGTACATCCAGTTGTAACATTGAACACGAGATCAGATTTGTATCTGAAAAGCATCCGTGTACAGGGTCTCCCACAGAAAGCACGAGAATGGCATTCAGCAAATTGCTCATTTGGAAATCTGATACAGACATGATGGGCCGAATGGACTCCTCCTGTGATTCTGTTATACATTTGTCATATGCCTTGGTTGCTTCTGATTAGAAGGACGTGCTGTGTCCTCGGGTCTCTGTTCTATGGATCTGGGGTTGAGAAGATCCTCCTGGTCGAATAATTAGAGTCACTGATGGATAGTTTGAACCTTGCAGTGAGTCCCTTTCCTCCTGTCCACCATCTACAAGGCATAAGTCAGGAACACTCCCCACTTCCATGGAAGGGTACAGCTCCAACAACACTCATGAAGCTGAACACAAACCAGGAGAAGCAGCCCATTTGATTGGCATCTGCTGTACCATCTTCATCATTAACTCCTTCCATCATTGCTGCGCAAGTAGAAGCAGTGTGCGTCAACTGTCAGAATATCCAGGGATTGGCTCGATTCTCCTCCTGAAATCTCCCGGGAAGATCCACTCTCTGGGAATGGGAAGGAGGGGACCAATCAGAGAGAATTTGCCTCTTAGGTTCAATGGAAGAGGATTGTTAAGTGCTGCTCCTCCAATCAAAGGCTGCATCGCTCCTGTACTTGCTTCTGATAGGGCCAGCAGCAAACCCTGGGAGCTAAGTGGCTTGTGATTGGAGGAGCAGTGAGCAAGGTCAGTTTTCCAGAGTGGAGAAAGGGAACCTTTTTGCTGGATTCTGTTTCTGAGGTGAATGTTAGCCAAAGCAAGGCAGGGGTGGAGGGAAGAAGACCGAGGCAGCAAATGGCTTAACCCAATCAACAAAGGAATATTCAGCTAAATGGGATCCAAGAAAATTTAAAATCACCACTGAGATATTTAATTTCTTACAAATCAATATGGAACATCTTGTTGAGGGTTGTGTAAATTCGGAGGCTAGTCTCCTTAGAAAGGTGTGTTGATTCTAATGCATTAAACCCTGCCAATCATTAAATATAAATCTGAGATTGAGATCTAGGTGCAGTAAACCGGGTTGTAAACCAGCTGGTTAAAATGTTCCAGCTTTATACTGGTGTCATATAGATGCAGGAGCTGTGTCCTCACTGGTCTGGGTGTTTTGTTCAGCTGATGGTTTTTGTGTGTGAAAATAATAATAAAGTTTTTTTTTTAGCTTATGCTGTTATCTTGTGCCAATTTAAATGCTGTAGTTTCTAGGAAGTTAATGCTTTCTATGTGTTTAGATTAATGGAGATTTTTTTTAATATTGAGGATATTGATGAATTATTCTAATTCTGCTTGTGTGTCCAAATATGTCAACACCTTAGGGAAAATAATGTTAGTGTGAGACAGCATTATCTAATAAATGAGTTAGAATGAAAATGTTACTCCAGAGAAAATCTCATGAGTATTGAATAAGATATTATTTTGACCTCGGATGGTTGAACCATCTGCAAGATGCCACACAATGAATCACCAGAGCTCCTCAGTCAGCGCTTTGTCGTTCTAAACGGTAGATTGGCAAGGACAGCAGATGTCGGGAACACCCCCACCTACTTCCTTCAGTATCACTGGGTCAAAATCCTGGAACTCCCTAATGGCACTGTGTGTCTCCCTATACTGAATGGACTGCAGCGATTCATGCAGGCAGCTCAGCAACACTTCCTTCAGGGCGGTCGGAATGGACCATATTCTTTTAAAAACATATGAAATGAAAGTAAAATTAGACAGTGCAACATCGCCACCGCCTGTGGTTGTGCAGGCATAAAATTAGGTTTTTGCAGCCAGTGCAGCAGCCCCACCTAATGGCTTCTGATAGTACTGCACAAACATGTTTCCTTGTTTAAATTGAATCAGAGATAGTAGGAACTGCAGACGCTGGAGAATCTGAGACAACAAGGTCCAGTTCTGCACCTTGTTTCCTTGTTTAAACTTTGTTGTTAGTTTACTTGGTGCAACAGCTCAACTTGTCAGTAAAACTAAAGCCACAAGCTTTCTGCAGATTTATTCTTAATCTAGCAGTTTCTAAGAATATTTTATATGTAGTTTTGGTGAGAACAAGAGGAACTCATTCAGGGCCTAGATTTTGTTTTGTTTCTGTTAGATGAGTCAACTTCTTTTACTGCCAGAGATCTGGTCATGACTTCACTAACAATCGTTAGTCTACTGGGTTACTTTGTGAAAATGTTTATCAAAATCGGCGACGATGAACAATTTTTAATCGTATTTTACATGGAGCAACACTGCCACCTCGTGGCTGAAATTGAAGTTTCACAAATTTATACATGTCCCATGACTGGATTTGGACAGTTGATGTACCGTGATTTCACCCCAAACATTATGTTCATCATTAACACCCTATTCCTGTTGACTGCTTTCCTAAGTTCCAGGAGAACCTCTAGCGTGGGAGATGCAATACTTCTGCCCTTTTCACCATCCAAGTTCTCTTCAATGAAACTGATTTGTTTTGCTTCTTTCAAGTTCGTATATTGAAGTAATGTAGTCTGAATGCACATTGCCAAATGCGGAACTCGTATGTTCAGCAAGCCAGCATGATCCTGAGCCTGTTCTATGAACGCTACCTTTAACAAAAACAAAATGCTGGAGAAATCCAGGTCTGGCAACATCTATGGAAAGAAAAAGACTTAAATGTTTCAGAACACGACTTCTCTTTGGTTTCTCCAGCACTTTTTATTTCCATTATTTTCCATTTAGATTTCCATTATCCTCAGTACTTTGCTCTCATTCCACATTTCCTGTTTTTGGCCACCTATCATTTTGCAAGGAAGATGAACAAAAGCTTAAGGGACAGTACCTCTGTTTGATGAGGCACTTTGCAATCTTCCAGACTGGGTACCAAATTCAGCAATTTTAAATCATAAGTGCTGTCCAGATTTTTTGTTTGCCAGTCATGTATCTGTGCTTCATATTTACACTTCTTTTATGCGCATCCTTTGTTTCTCTGCGTGACTCATTACGATCTTGTTTTGTCCTCCATAATCAACTTTTTGGCTACTTCATCTCTTCTACCCTATCCCACACCTTCCATTGTGATCTTCTCCCTTTCTCTCAGTCACCCAGTCCCTCCCTTTGCACAATCTTAAAATCTGCTACATTCTAACAGTCATGCAGTTCTGACGGTAGGCCACAGACTAGAAACGCTTACTTTTCTTCCCCCTTCCCCCCTCCCCCCCCCCACCCCCCATGGATGCTGCTTGACCTGCTTAGTATTTGCAGCTTTTCCTGATTTTACTTCGGATGCCCAGCATCTGCAAAACTTTAATTTTGTAGCAGAGCTATCTATTAGCTATGATTCCTCTTCAATGAAACTTGGCCGCAGTACCGTTTGCCGCCAGCCGGTGGCGATCCTGTACCACGTATAACATCGCAGAATTTTCAGCGCCGTAGTACCGCTCACGACCAGAAGGTGGTGATATTGCACAGGTTTTTTCTTAATGGGATTAAACTGTGACAATGGAACGGGACCTGCTAGAACTATTCCAGTGGAAGTGGAGAGAAGGAGGCTGCCAGAGTACAGTTTTAAAATGAGTCTTTTTTAAAAGACGGAGGTATGAGTATTTCATTTTTCTCTCAGAGCAGGGTCTGGAGCAGTTTCTTCCCGAGAAGGCAGTGCAGGCCAGGTCTTTGAATTTCTTCAAGGCAGAGGTTAGATTTTTGATAGATAACTAGGACAAGGGTCATGGGAAGTGGAATTGAGACAGAAACAGATGAGCCATGATCATAATCAAATGACAGAACAGGATCAAAAGGGCTGAATGGCTTGCTCCTGTTCCTAAGACCCTTGAACCCATGCGACTAATAGGTTAAAGTTTGGACAGAATGGTCTTTAACAAATCTTTGAAAATATGCAAACTTTTTGCAGATGAATCATGGGGACATAAGGTTGTGGAGCTGCCCCCATGATCTACCTTTACCCTTAACTTGCTCATCCACTTGCTGTTCTATTCCAACATTATCCTAAACCATGCGTCTGGTGCCTGGGGAACACTGAGCCCAGACAGTTCCACCTCACCAGTACCTCTCTGACAAACGCTCCCCACCCCCCACCCACCACCGCCCCCCCACCCACCACTACATCTGCGAAGCTGTTTGTCCAACACACTAATGGACAATCCAAAACTTCCACCTGCTAAACAGCAAAAATAATCCAAATCATTGATGCCTGGAGTCCAAGGGATAAATTCTGAGAAATGTGGGCCTCATTTCTCTAGAATTTAGAAGGTTATGGGTGATCTGATCAAAGTTTACAAGATATTAATAGGAAGTACCAGGTTGGATAGAAAGAAACTGTTTCCATTGGTTGAGGATTCTAGAATTAAGGGGCATAGCCTGAGAAATAGGGCCAGACCATTCAGGAGAGATGTTAGGATGCACTTCTACACACAAAGGATGGTAGAGGCTTGGAACTCCTTTCCACAAACAGAGGATGCCAAATCAATTGTTAATTTTAAATCTGAGTTTTTTTTTTAAATTGAGCAACAGTATTACATGATATGGACCAAAGGCAGGTAGATGGAGTCAGGCCACAGATCAGCCATGATCTCATTGAATGGTGGAGCAGACTGAATGGCCTCCTCCTGTTCCTATGGCCTTTGGTTACTGTCACAAACGTCATTCCCTCACTGGTGAACCCAAATCTGTTCCCCATTCTCAGTTGGTTTTTGCAGCCACAGTGTCCTATTAACCCAACTCAGAGTTTCAGACCAGACATCCTCACCATCACCAAAATCACTGACTTCATCACAACCACATCACCTGACTCTTTATCCTGCCCATCAACTGAAAATGTTATCAATTTTTTTATTCCCTGGGATTCAGTAATTCCTTCTGATGACAAGCCTAAACTCTGTAATTCCATCTAATCCTCTTGATCTTTCCTTCCATTATGTCCCATTTGATCATCTATCTTAATTTGCTTCAGGGTCAAGTGTTTGTTTGATCACATTCCTATAAGGTTTTTGGAGTGTTTTACTTTATGAACACTGCTATGTAAATGCAACTAGTTGTCGTCATGGCTTTCCTCCCTCCATAAACATCAGCTTATCCAAACTGTGCTGTCTGTAGCTGACCTTGTATCATGTGCAGTTCACCCAACACCCCCTGTGCTCACTGACTTGCATTGAATCTAGATTCCCAAGTATGTTGAATTGAAACTCTCATCCTCGTTTGTAAATTCCATGCTCTTGCCTCCACCCAACTGTAAACAGTTCCAGCCTTAGAACCTTCTAGAAGTTACCCTTCCAATTCTGGCCTGCTCTCTGTTCCCAGTTTTCATTGCTCTATACCTTCACCAGCTGGGTATAAACCTCTGGAATGATCTCCCTCCATTCCTCTGACTCTCTAACCCTCTTCATCCTTTTCAGTGCACTTTAAAATCCATGTCTTTGACCAAAGCTTTGCTCACTTGCCCTAATATGGCCAGCAATTATCACTGTGATCCAGTGAAGACATTTCCTGCACAAAATCACTGTCTGAAAGCACAATTTTACTGTAATGAGAGAATGATTCTTCCAGGAATACAGGGCAAGTTGATCATTGGATCATGGAAGAGAACATTAACATTTCTGTTTGTTTACCTGGTTTCTTTCTCATTCACTGGTCTCACTGTGATTTGAGAGCCCATCCTGTGAGCCATAACCTGAAGTCTGGTCTTTGGGACTATATTTGGTATGCACAGTGTGGTGGACTTAATTCCTGTGTTTAAGCATTTTTCTCTCTCTCTGTCCTCAAAGGGGAAACTGCTCAAGACCAGTGACTGTTATTAATGGAACTTGAATGTTTACCTTTCCTCTGTCTTTTCTGTTCCCATTGTTTCTGAAGACCCTGACCCACGTTGAGGTGGTTACTGGCTGCTGGGCAAGTGTTCCAGAGGCAAAGTAGTCTCCAATGTTTGGTCTACATCATGGAATTCGATCACAATGTGTGGGGAGAATCACAGCCCCATTGGTTTTTGGCTCAATGTTCAGGCCAGAATAAAGTTGTGTGGCAGTTGAAATTGAAGTAAAATAAATAAAATAAAGCATGTGTTTTCTTTTATCCAGGTTTACATCAAGGACACATTTGGCTTAAAAAGTCTGGATACCCAGGGAGCCATTCATACTTTTACAGTGAACAATGTGCATCACACCAAATGGCACTCCAACCGCACTGTATTCGACAATTATATTGTCAAATGGCTCACGTAAAAGATGATTAAGTGGGACATCCATGCTGTGAAGGACAGGCGAACTGTGAACTCAGAATGTACAACAAATCAAACTGAACCTTGGAAAGATGGGTACTGTGCAGGGGGTAGGGCAAGCTCTCCAGATCTGTAAGGTTTCCTGTGGACGCCCTTTGTTTAAATGCATTGACAATCAACTGTGGCAGCTGGTCAGAGAGGACTGAATGTCACCAGTGAATGTCACCTCAGTGGGTGACTGGGGCAGGGGCGAGGAAAGGGGCTTTTAGACATGTGAAGGGGGTTTGGGGAAATGAGGGGAAGAACCACTGATACTGAAATCCAATCCAGAAGGAAGACACCCCTCACTGAGAATCGGCGACCAGGTCAAAGATTTAATTTTTGCTGCTTCGAGCTTTTTGTCTTGCATCTTCCTCAATGAAAGAATAGGGAACCTGCATCAATGCTGCTTTCTAAAATGAGTGTTATGCTGAATCAATACAAGCAATTTTTCAAATTGTTTTTAAACATGAGAATAACACTTGATGACTACCTCTAGTATTCTGCCCGTTAAATGCACACTAAATGGAGCGGGAAAGGGAGCAGAGGGAAATGGATCATTTGGAGCTATTCCTGACTTGTGTAAAGCCTGTATTTAAACACAAAGGATGGAAATTAGGCTGTGATTTAATTTGTAATATGCCTCATCATTTAGCTTAAATCTCCACCCTCCTATCGCCTTTCCGAATACCTCCTGAACAGGTTAATAACCCTACCCATGGGTTGTTGCCATGGAATTTACTCATTAGACCTGACTCATCAATGCCCCCCTCCTATTTGATTTCCCTTCCTTGGTAAAGTTCACTGACCAGTCTGGCCTGATTTGGCTCTGTTCAGAGTTCACCTCTCCTTTAGTGATTTGGACATCCAATCATTTAAAGAGAAGTGTAATTTTTTTTGAAGGAAAGAAAAATGCTTTCTATATCTGAACTTCTAAAGTCCTATTTCAAATGAATAATTTTGAACGAAGGGAGGGTTTTTAAGGGTCAGTAATTTAAGGTTTTTGTCTTTTATATAAAAATTGTGAAAGGATGTTAAAACAGGTATATGGTTGGTTCTTAATAGTTATTGAATGCCTCAGGAATATGAGGATGCCCAATGTTGGCGTTGGGAGTAAAATCAATTGTACAGAAGGGAAGGTGTGGCTGGGGTTGATGTGAGTTGCTTATTCTGATAGTACTGCTTTTTCCCAGGAGGGGTGCTTTTGTACCAATGGAGACTGCCAATGCGCCACTAATTTACTGTTCATGAGTGGTATTTCAGGAAGTTATCTCCATTCCCACCCATCACTTTAATTATACTGAAGTGTTAATAGGGGACGATCTGCCTGTTCTAAGGTAAAAAAATGTTTAATTCTGTTCTAACTTCTTTACAACTTGTAAACCCTGTTGACCTCAAACTCTTGTTATATATTGGTCTATGTTTGGTTGTGGGAGTTATTGTCACATTGGAGCAACCAGATGTTCTATATTTCCACCCATTGACTGTGCTTTCACTCTTGGGTTCTGTTCAGAATGAGCTGTCTTTAATCATTCCCTCAGATGGCCTTGTGGTCTCGCTGAGGGAATCAGAAGCAGTGGGCAGGAGTAGTTGCAATACCTCAAGGAAATGAGTTCATCAAAGGTGAGGGAGAAATTTTGAAGCTAAAGACTGCAACAACGTAATGGAGGGAAGATTCAGCATTAATGTAAAGAATTTCTTTCCTAGCTTTTCCGTCAATGCTAAAGCCTATGTTTTAAGCCAATGTGGGCATTGTCATTGGAAAGAGAAACTGAACGGACTTGGAGATCAGAAAGAAACAGAAAATGCTGGGGGTACAACTGCAGAACCGTCAGTGTCTGAAAAACTTTCACGAGGAATAGGTTAAAATAAGGTGTTAGATTTCTCAGGCACAGTTTTATTTTTTTCTAATCGTAAAAGTAAGTGTTCAATAATGAGTTTTATGAAACTCCGAGTATAAAGACTCTGTAAATATGTATTTGGTTTTGACTAAGAGTGTGCAAGGATACATTTACAAAGCTCACTGATTTCAGACTTTTTTTGCAACATTGCATTTGATTGACTTTCTTTTTCTTTTAAATTCTTGAAGTCCAGCTTTCCCTGGAATTGCGCCAGTATCCTGGTCTCTGGGAATTCTCCTGAGCACCACCATCAATAGGAATATCTGATGAAAGCTAACCAAACTGAAGCATTGACTGTTTTTCTCTTCTGTTTATAAACACTGCCCAGCCTGCTGAGTATTTCCAGCATTTCTTCATTTTTATTACAAACTTAACTCCTCAATGTTGCATTTACATAGGAACAGGAGTGGGCCATTCAGCCCTTCAAGCCTATGCCACATTGTTTAGTGAGATTGTAGCTGATCTGCCATTTAGTCTTCTTTAATCTGATAAGTGCTCAGATAGTGATAGACTTTAGGGACATTTTACAGTCTATCTTGGTTAGTTTAGCTGCATGAACAACAGCCCAAAGTTGGGATATTATCCAGTTTTCAATCCTGTTGAATTTATCAGTTCACTGTCTTCACAGTACCTTTTTAACCTATTTATTTTAAACTGTCAGTGTCACCTTGTTAAAAGTGTATTGAGGCTTTTGATGGGCGTGCATTCATTCAACGCTAATCCTCCGTATCATTATGGATCATTAATCTATTCACAGATAGACAAGGCTTTGTGTTTGACAAAAGTTAATTCATGTGAAAGTGTGAGCAATGAATTTACTTCCCAACACACTGATACCTACACAATGCGGACAATAATTTAGTTTGCAAAAATTAAATTTCTGAGAGTTGCCAGGTTGGGCAGCTTCTCTCATATAGACTTGATTCACCATGTGCTTGCTCTGGGTAAGATCAGACATTAGTGCTCCTATCGACCTCACCCTGAGAGCAACCATTGGAAATGGAAGTACAGCTGACCCCAATATGCTGAGCTGTTACTGAACTCTGCTGTTAACCTGCTTGTTAGGTTTCTGTTATACCACTTTCTGTAAAACTCTTGGGAATACTCAATATTTCCGTCCCTTTCCCGGAGAAGTTAAGAAGAACAATACCTTCCCACAGAACTTGATAAATATTTTCCAGTTATGAAGCTGCCCTGTGTAATTGATATTCAATATTTAATAATGTCAGTCCTTTCCCCATGCAATCCTTTGTAAAAGAATATAATGAAGGTTGAGTTATCCATGATGACAGCTGACTCCAAGGAAGCAAATTGCCCCTTTTCGTGTTGATTTTTAGGGTTGCAATGCACCTCAAATCTAGGGAGGTTGGCTTTGATAATTCCATGGTGTTTTGAATAAATCGATACCTGTGGTGGCTGATGGTGACCTGGTAGAATAGTGTAGGTGGTGAGGCTGGTATTATTGCAGTGAGGGGGTTCATCATTTATACTGGGACAATTGCTGGATGTGTAATTCTGCTCGATGCTAGTGCTAGCTGCTATACCTGAATAAAACTGAGGGATGTCAACATTGAACCAGAATCAACAACATGTGCTAATTATCAACAAGTTGTGCTTTCCCTTAATTTGTTGGGCCTTGGTTCTACATTTTCCATATTGTTTGTAAATTATTCCAATGTTGCCTCATTCTTCTACTGTCTAATAAAAGTATTTTAAAGAAGAATGTGTGATTAATGCAAATCTTCCTCACTTCAGTGAGAACAACAACTGTGTTTCATGTTGTGTCTCACTCCCTGGCTGAGAGAATGGGTAGTGTACTTGTCAAGAGCCTCTGGAGCTGTGCTTGGCACCTCCTGTAACGACATGGTGTGTCTCACTGGTTAGACTATTATTTCACCATTGTATGTATCCCAGGACTAATTTCTTTTTGTCATGTTCTGGGGTTAGACCTCATTTCTCTAGTAAGCTGCTAGAAATCATGGAGGATAGGATAAAGCCATTCAGCCCATTCAGACTGTGCTAGCTTTTTCAAATAGAGGTTGAATTGCCGTAATCTTCTGTCATAGTCTAACACTTCCTCCTTTCTTTCTTGCTTTCTTTCTTGCTTTCTTTTGTTCTTTCTTTCTTTAAGTATTGATTTTATTCCCTTTTTGCTATCACATCTCTAATGAGAGGAACTAGTAATAAACTCCTCGTGCTCCATGAACCATACCAGTACTGTCAGCATTTTATTTAATCACTGAAGTGGTCAATTTCTCACTTGTTGAGAATGAAGGAGACTTTTGCCAGGTTTTATGAATTAGCTGAAATATAATTTGTTTAGTATATGCAAACATATTCTTACAATAAATGACAAAACTGGTTAACTAAACTATAAATTTGGAATTAAATTATATTCCCTTAATCACAAGCACATGCAGCCACAAGCCAGACAGGGTAGAACAACACTTTGATGATTTTTTTTTAAAGGCAAATGGGAAACCCTTAGTGAGTTAAATGTCCAAACTTAAAGGATGAAACAAAATGGAGGATTTCTCATGGTTGAGTTGCTTCTCTGTTGTCAAGATCACAATGTTGACAGCTGTAGAATCCATGTGAGATTTTTAGTTCCAGTATTACTTTTGATGAGAATCAATTTTGACTTTAAGTCTTTGAAGGGAAGTAACAGTTTACCTTTCAAAGTTCAAGAGAAAATTAAATATTTCTGGAACTTTCTCAAGTTACTTTGCTGAGTCAGATCTGTGCAATGTGCCCTGCTGTAAGACAATTTTTTTAGGAATGAGACAGAGACATTTCCTTTTGCTGCCAGCTTCTCGGAGCTGTGTTCCTTCAACTACCACAGGTCAGTTTGTACTAAAACAACAACAGAGGCTGTTGTTGGGTAACCTTCAATACAGACCTCCATCCTCCCCAAACCAAGTTTGTCAAGCAATTGAAGGCATCAATTCCAACTCTTATTTCTCTTAAAAGCTTTGTTGACTGCTCTCCACTAAGTCATCTGTATTTTTTTGTAAACAATGGGTGATTTATAGACTCATTAAGCTGTTGACTTGATTCCCAAGAAATCCCATGGTACAAACCCTTTTTACTGCAGATGTGTAAACAGTTCTATTTTCCAGATCCTCATATCCTTTAAATAAAATGTATGCATTCCCAACAAAAGTTGTTACATCTGCTTCCACTGTCCCTTCATGCAGTGCATTAAAATTATTACAACTTGTGTCTTCTCCAAAATTCTTCTGATTTTCCAGCTGTGGTTTAATTGCTAATCATCTTAAATCCTCTGATTGTTGGCCCTCACGCTAATAGAATCCACCTCTTGGGGCTGCACAGTGCCTCAGTGGTTAGCACTGCTGCCTTTCAGTGCCAGGGACCTGGTTTCAATTCCACCCTCCGGTGACTGTCTGTGGAATTTGCACATTCTCCCTGCGTCTGTTTTCCTCCCACAGTCCAAAAATGTGCAGGTTAGGTGGATTGGCTATAGTAAATTGTCCATAGCATCCAGGGATGTGTAGGCTAGGTGGGTTAGCCATGGAAAATGCAAGGTTACAAGGATATGGTAAGGGTGTGTCTGGTGGGATGCTTTTTGGAGGGCCAGTGTGGACTGGGTGGGCCAAATGGCCTGTTTCCACACTCTGGGATTGTATGAACTGGATACAAATGAGGAGGAAGAATTTCTCCTTGCAGACGGTAGTGAATCTGTGGAATTCTTTACTGCAGGGGGCTGTAGAGGCTGGGTTGGTAATTATGTATTAAAAAAAAGTAGAAAAAATAGGATCAACCTCTCAACCAAGGTCCCTTATAAATTCAAGGACTTGATGTCAATCTTCCTTTTTAACCATCCCTGCTCTAAAGGGAACAAACCCAGCTTCTTTAGTCTTTCCTTGTGATATTGAATCCTGGAAAAGAGCCAGTCATAGCCAGGGATTTAGATAGGAATCCTCTGCAGTTTATTAACACCCTGCTAAACATTTTTTTTTAAAAAATGGTATTGGGATTAAAGGTGCAGGTTTAATTGATGGACTAAATGTCTTGCAAAATTTGGCCACTACTTTATTTAATCCTGAGCAAGAAAGATGATTTTGTGTTTTATCATGTAATTCAGGGGAGGTGCTGGTGGCATGGTTGTAATGTCAGTGGGCTAGTAATTGAAATTTCTAGGCCAATGTCTTGGGGAAATGGCTTCAATCCTGCTATGGCAGTTAGTGAAATTTGGATTAAATTTAAATATAAAAGAAAATATCTAATGAAAAACTCACCTATCAGCAATTCTTTAACCATGGGGGTGATTATTGTAAGAATTCATCTCATTCACTAACGTCCTTTAGGGAAGGAAGCTGTGTCGCTCCCTAGCCCGGACTACAATTAAGTCCAGATCTACAACAGTGTGGTTGTTTCTTTGCTGCTGTCTGTGCAATGAAGGCTGGATAGTAATTTCCGGCCTATTCAGCAATTTCCATGTACCATTGAAACATTTTTACAAAGTAACCTGCCATTGGACTTAAACCACTTGTAGAATTTTGGTTCTGATTCAATTTCTGGGTAGGTTTGGTCTAACCATCTCAATTCAGGATCTCTTTGTTGCACTTTTAATAGAGATGTGCTAAATATGTTAGCCTCATTATCATTGCTTTCTTAATTCATTGAAAATTGTGTCGGATAATTGAATTTCCAGCTCATCTCCTTTTTTCTTCATAGTCATTCTTCTGCGGTTTGATTTTTATAGGCCTGAGATCTAGTCACAACATAGTCAGGGAATGATGCAGTTCCTTTGGTAAGGCCAATATATTTGAACCAGACAGGCAGCTTTGCAAGCTAAAATCAATTGCTTCCACAGATATTTGTTCATTACACCAACTATAGATCCACCATTTATTATGTCACGGTTTAATCTAACTCTCCATAATGGAATTGGTTTGTAACCTGCATGTGCTTCCTCGAATTAATATTTTCTCCCTCATTAATCTCTCTGGAAAGTGATGATATCAGTCAGTATCAGTGACTGACTTGTGTCCGTGTCTCTCAATATGATTGCAGCTTTACCTCCTTGATTAGAACCATAAAGCAATACATTTCATTTTGAGATAAAATATTCAGAATCTTCAGTGATCGAATTGTCTGCAAAATCCAAAGAATTTTCTTGCCTGCCCAAAGTTATGTCTTCCTGTTTCATACATACTGAGCAACAATTCCATTTATACAATAGCTATAGTTTTAATGCCTATTACTTTTCCTGATGCCCCTTTTTCGAAGATTCCCAGATGTTCCCATGGACGTAAAAGACAAGGCTGAAACATTTGTAACAACCTTCGGCCACAAGGGCCAAATGGATGATCCATCTTGTCCTCCCCTAGAGGACCCCAGCTTCACAGAGATCAATCTTCAGTCAATTTGATTCATTCCATGTGATATCCAGAAACAGCTGAAAGCTCTGGATACTGCAAAGGCTGTGGGCCCTGACAACATCCAGGCAACAGTACTGAAGACTTGAGCTCCAGAACTTGCTGCACCTCCCAGCCAAGCTGTTTGAGTACAGTGACAAAACTGGCATCCACCCAACAATGTGAAGAATTACAATGGTATGTCCTGTCCACCAAAAACAGCACAAATCCGAACAGGTTAATTCGTATCCCATCAGTTAACAATCAACCATCAATAAAATGACTTACTGAGAAAGAACCTGCTCACTTATGCTCAGTTTGGGTCTCTTTAGGGCCACTCAGTTCCAGACCTCATAGAACATAGAACATAGAACATTACAGCGCAGTACAGGCCCTTTGGCCCTCGATGTTGCGCTGACCTGTGAAACCAATCTGAAGCCCATCTAACCTAAACTATTCCATTATCATCCATATGTTTATCCAATGACCGTTTAAATGCCCTTAAAGTTGGCGAGTCTACTATTTTTGCAGGCAGGGCATTCCACGCCCTTACTACTCTCTGAGTAAAGAACCTACCTCTGACATCTGTCCTATATCTATCACCCCTCAATTTAAAGCTATGTCCCCTCATGCTAGCCATCACCATCCGAGGAAAAAGGCTCCCATTGTCCACCCTATCTAATCCTCTGATCATCTTGTATGTCTCTATCAAGTCACCTCTTAACCTTCTTCTGTCTAACGAAAACAGCCTCAAGACCATCAGCCTTTCCTCATAAGACCTTCCCTCCATACCAGGCAACATCCTAGTAAATCTCCTCTGCACCCTTTCCAATGTTTCCACATCCTTCCTATAATGCGGTGACCAGAACTGTACGCAATACTCCAAGTGCGGCCGCACCAGAGTTTTGTACAGCTGCAACATGACCTCATGGCTCCGAAACTCAATCCCTCTACCAATAAAACCTAACATACTGTACGCCTTCTTAACAACGCTATCAACCTGGGTGGCAACTTTCAGTGATCTATGCACATGGACACCGAGATCTCTCTGCTCATCCACACTACCAAGAATCTTACCATTAGCCCAGTACTCTGTATTCCTGTTACTCCTTCCAAAGTGAATCACCTCACACTTTTCCGCATTAAACTCCATTTGCCACCTCTCAGCCCAGCTCTGCAGCTTATCTATGTCCCTCTGTAACCTGCAACATCCTTCCGCACTATCCACAACTCAACCAACTTTGGTGTCATCCGCAAATTTACTAACCCATCCTTCTATGCCCTCATCCAGGTCATTTATAAAAATGACAAACAGCAGTGGCCCTAAAACAGATCCTTG